ACACACATCATTGTAAAATCAATACATTCATCACTTCGTTCAGAAACTAAAAAACACATCATGGTAAGATTAATATATTCATCACGACACATGGAATTTTAAATAAAATAAATAAATAGTAATGTTGTAGAAATAATGATAAATTTTATTTTTGACTATTATATTTTTACTTTTTTTTTATTTTTTGATACAGTGTTAAAAAGTATAGGTAGTTTAATCGGGGATAAATTGTATGAAATTATTTATATATTTTATACCTACCATTTAAATAGTTGCAAGAAGCATTATTTTGACATTGACACGTTTGCGTACAATCAAATCCAAATTTTCCCGTTGGACAACCTTAAGATTTATAAAAGTGAACTATATAAAAAAACTCTTTTTTTATATATAAAATATATAATATTATTAATATATAAAATTTTTAATTTTTAAACTTCCAATGCACCTATCCGATTGCGACAAGTAGGTCCATCGTAATATTCGTCACATCTGCACACATTTGGTGAAATACATACGCCCCATACACAAGGTTCTTTACAGGCAGGACGGCATTTTGTCCCATTCGGTGTTTTTTCGTAACCATCGCAGCATGTATTGATGATTTGAATATTGTTTTCTGACTAAACAATGAATTAATTAGATCATAATTTGGAGTTGCTAATAAGCTATAAAAAGGTGATTTTATTCGATTGGAGATTTAATAGTTATTTTTTAAATGTTACATGTTATGTAACATTAGGTTTTACTGATAACTGCGTAAGCTTACCAAAAAATGTGATTGAATTTACACACAACTCTATTAAACAATATAATTACTAGGGGTGGGCTGATACTAGAACCGATACCAGATATTGGCCGATATCGGTGTTATTGGTTTTTTTTCAAAATCTATAATTCAACCGATACCAAAAAAAAAAACCTATCGAACAGCATAGTATTATATCACAATAATTTACAAATTAACAGGATAGGTTATCAATATCACAATAATATTTAACAGCATTATTATTTTAAGAATTCATTATTGTAATACAATTTATTGATAACAATTAAACACTATTTCTAGTCACAGTGTTGTACTACATCTAGTTTATAGATACTATAGTGTTATTATTTACGAGGTTACACGAGTTTACTTAATATTAAATATTAAAAATTGTGTTATAAGGTGTTGGTTTCATTTTATTATGTCGGTTGATTGTATCGGTTTTATGGTGATATCGGCTCATGCCTTTTTGACAAAAATGTTGTTTTAATATTTCCATATATTATCGAGTATCGGTTTTATATCAGCAGCATGTATCGGAGTATCGGATATCGATAAAAAGTGTTAATGACACATCCCTAATAATAACAATACTGAACACTTTCAATGGTTATTTATTTTTGCACATTAACTATGTAGTTATATCAACTACCCAATAATCATATTTTGTYGTTATACTTGATTTGTCGTACCATTACTTTTTTTAAATTACGTCCAAAAGCAAATACATCATTACATTGTATTTATTCATTTAAWTTTAAATGTGCATTCACGATAATATAGTTAAAATATTTTGCTTACTGATAAGTGTTTTATTCTAAAAGATAATAACATACATAAACRTGTTAATTGTAATTAACATTAATGTTGTCAGTATAATAACAACACATGTTTAACGTTCTTAGATTAGGTAACTCTTATGCTGACATTATTCCATAATTGCCACAAACAGATTAAAATGTTTTATGATGTTATTTATTTTGTATATCATACTAATTATTATATGATAATATAATTGTAGCTAAAATATACATTTATTTATTTTGCATTAATTTAAAAATGATATATAAAAAAATAATAAATTTTTAGGTACATATTATGTTTTATTATTTGTTTAAATGTGGCGTATAAATAATATATAATAAAAGAATAGGTACTCAGTGTTTAATAAGGCTGTGTATCGATGAATAAAAAAGACAAAAGTTAAAATACCTCTAAAAAAATTATCTCCATAACAAATAACAATAAGTAGCTCTTTTTTAAATGTAACTTCTAAGAGATAAATTGTTTTTCGTTATAATAGTATGTAGTTACCAATCATTTAATTAATTTTATGAGTATGTGTTAAGGAATTAGTTTCTAATTTAAATTCCTTAGAATTAAAAACTATTTTGGTTTGTTTATAAATATATAAAACATAAGACTTACGATTTCGGTTTGAATTGGAACTGCAGTATCAGTTACAAAATAACATTTAAATTTCCAATTCTTGAAACAAAAATATGAAGTTTTGGATGAATGGATTTCATACTTAGTGATTATTTTTTTTGTTTTGTAACTAAAAATTATAAATTATAAATTATTTCACTTTCCAATTTTTTTAATTAATAAAAACTACAATTTAAATTATTATAATAGCCTAATATAAAAGATATATGGTATCCAAATTTTTTATTAAATAGGTATAAATAACCACTGTTGTTGTGTTCGTTTAAAATTAAATAGTCAGTAAAATTTAGTAATACATAATATATCATATACGCTCATTGTTCAATAAATTCAGAACAATTACAACATATTTTTTTTTTTATGCAATGATGCCTATATTGCAATATTGAAACATTGTTTTTATGATATTTTGTGCTTGACCAGTGTCGTTGAAACCAAATTTTTTTTTTGAGGAAGGAAGACAGGTAAATCCTGTTGTTGGTGACGAGATAATTTAGGGACAACTAGAAGTTATAACGAACTGGACTTGTCACAATAATTAATTAATTACTAACTTACATATAAGGCGAAATGTGAGATTTAACGAAAAACAGAGCTTTTATTAACGATACAGGCCCCGGGCTTATAAATTCAATCACCTATATCCATAGGTATAAAGATTTCAAAAATTGTATTATGAAAATGTTTTTCATCTATATTGTAGGACTCTAGCGATTTTGATTTTAAAATTAATTTTAATAAAATCGGATTTTGGGAATGCTATATAGATCACTTACTTTTTAATAAACGTGCATACGTTTGGTCCGGTGAGTTTGGAACCGGTGGAGTTGTCAAAGATTAATTTCGTGGAGTTGTCGATATTAAATGTTGTGATTTTTCCGGGGATAAATTTTGTGGAGTTTTTGATAACAACACCTGTGAAATTATTGTTAATGAAGATCTCCGTGGTATTTTCGGGTACGATGTCCGTGATGTGGTCGGGAACGATATTCGTGATATTTTTAGGGACGATATCCGTGGTATGGTTGGGAGCGATATTCGTGATATTATCGGTGACGATATCCGTGGTATGGTCGGGAACGATATTCGTGATATTATCGGAGATGATATCCGTGATATTTTCAGGGACAATATTCGTGATATTATCGGAGACGATATCCGTGATATT